ATGAAAGAAAACATACAGAAGACGATTCCATAAAGTCGAAAATAGAGGAGAAGGAATTCTGCAGAACCCTAGCCTCGAGTTAGAAGAATTGCAGAGCAACGGCGGCGAGCTGTTAAGCGGAGCTTTTATAGAGCGCAAGCCCTAGAAATGTTAGGATTTCTTGAGTTATTACGATAATAACCTTGACGTTTTTATTTAATCGCAGGGCATTGTGGACTGGCAAAATTTATTTATTTAGCGTTTTTGACTTAAGGGGTAGAGGTTAATAATACTTGTTATTAAAAAATAAAATAAAATATTTATTTTATTAAAACAATTTTAGTAATATTGATGATAAAATTAATATTAATTTTTATTATTTTTTATATTAATTAATATAAAAAATACATTAATTATATATTTAATATATACCTTAAGAATATAAGTTAGATAAATCTATTTATTTATGGTTGTTTAACCTACACAATTTAAATGTGTATTTTTGATTTGATGGAAATTTTATGACTGTTATTAAATCTATGTTTTATGCATATATTTATATGGAAAAGTAAAAAAAAAAAAACTAACATTAAAATTCATATTTTTTGCAAATTTTGATTATAAATATTTTATTTTATTTTAATTGTTCACTTTATATTTTATTTTAATTAAATTTGATATAAAATTTTATAAAAGATTAATTACAGATATTATAATTAATGATACTTAATGTGTCTTTTAAAAACATTTTACTTCTATACTCGTAATGCATAAATATGAAGCATTTAATTAATGATTAAGAGCGAATTTTTCATTTAATTTACGTTAATGTGTCTTTTAGAAACTTTTTACTTCTGTACTTGTAATGCATAAATATGAAGCATTAATTAAAGATTAAGAGTGAATTTTTCATTTAATTTACGTTAATTTCAAGTGATAGATATTTACTTTTTCTTTTATGGCCAATCTACCCCTTATTAAATGGAAAACTCATCTTTCATAACCCATTTTTATTTTTCTCCAACTGTGACGTTCTATCTCCATCCCATTATCATTTCTTTGGGAACACCTCAATCGATTTTTATTTTCAACTGCTTTTCATCTCTTGACTCTAATGCTCCAATTGCAGGAATCTCACCACTGCTGCTTCAAAAGCTGCGGCTCTATCTTGCCTTATTGCCTCTAAGAATCACCAACTCAAAGCTCAATCGTGTTTGCCCCTAATTTTCGTGGAGGGTAAATTTCTATTTTATTTCATCTCCCCATATCATTACCTTTATTTCTTTTTTTTTTGGATAACAAGAGTAAAACTTGAATTACTTTTCAGCCTTCTGTCTTTTCTTTTCTTTTCTTTTTTTTCTTTTTTTATCTTAACTACATAATGAAAGATAATTTTTTTTATTTCTTATCTCACCTTACTTATATCTTATGCGACTTAAATTCAAAATCTTTTATTTCAGCCTCTATGTTATGCACTTGTTTTTAATTTGTTTGCTTCTTCAAATTTTAATGATGAATGAAATTGTAGAGGTTTGAATTTTAAGATTTTTTTTAGGGGGAGAGAAGTAATTTGGCCGGGTGGAAGTGGGAGCCGCGTTGGTAGATTATATTTTTAAGGCAGAAGGTGCAATTCAGCCCCTGTACCTGCAATGTTGTGGCAATTCAGCCCCTGTACAAGAAACACTGGCAAATCAGCCCTTCTACTACATGAAATCCGCAAATCACCCCTTCTGTTAAGGA